GTAAGAATACAATTTAAGAACCTATTTATAAACTGAAAACAAGATGAGATGAGAAAATAAATATAATCAGCCCAACAGTTACCAATAAAGTGCATGGTTATTACTCAGCCATAAATAAAACTTTCACAAATCCAACTTGGTTAGGAAGCACGCTAAATTGACAGCATTTCATAGCTGGGATCCAAGGAATCCGCTTCTGTCCAACCGGAGGGGAAAGTTCTGTTGAACAAATGAAATTGGTGGAGGGATAGATTGTGGAAAATGCTGATGAGAGAGATAAAATGCAAGATGGGGCCATCGTGTTGGGCTGCGGACAAGATTGTAATGGAATTGCTTCCAAGTCGGTTCGTAGCAACAGATTGGGGGGTGGGAGGAATCACCCCCCAAACCGCCTTTTATTTCGCCCAGAAAGAAAGGTAGCAACCCTCTCTTTATGGGGTACAAAGAAGCAGAATCCGGCCAATAGTCCCCAGGACCTATAGTTTGGGTGTAGGGTGGAGTGGGGAGGGGGAATACTGGCTCTTCAAGGGTAAGGGCAGCGATTCTATTGCTAGAGAGGACTTCCTGGGGGGAGAGGGAAGCGTCACTTCCTCCTCCGTTTGTCACATGTGACAAGCTGCGAGGGAGGAGATTCTGCAGCGCGGAAGACTGTGCCTTTGCAAGGTAGGAAAAGAGGGATATATTTGGGGGGCGGAGGGGGCTCCCGTGCCAGAGCAGGAGAGAAGCCCTCCGGGAGAGGAGCATGCATGGGGCTGCACCCCACATTTGAGCCCCCAAAGAGCTGCGGGGAGAGCAAAGGACCTCGAGGGCTGCAGGGGCGCCCCAGGGGGAGAGCAAGGCAAGAAGGCGAGGCGGGGGGGGAGGGAGTTTTAGGGTGGGGTAGGAACCCCCCCAAAAAAGGAAAAGGGGGCAGGATGCCTCTGGGGAGAGGAGGAGGGAGGCATGGATGTTTTGGAAAGAAAGGGGTCGAGTAGAGAGGGCAGGATTAGACCAAAGGGGGGGGTCTTGGATGGGGGCTTTCTGCCTGCTGAGGAGATGCTCCGCCCTTGAGCTGCACCCCTTCCCCTAAAGTGGGGCTGGGGAGAGGGAGGAAGTGGGGGGGGGTGTCAGCCCTGTCGCAGCTCCAGGCTGGCAGAGAGAGAAGGAAGCCAGGAAAGGAATGTTTTGAATGTTGGTGGGGAAGAAGATTCTCTTTCAGGCGTGACTCCACTTTCCTTGCATGGTGGGGTTCAGGAGGGGGGACACTCCTCTTTTATCATGGACGCTGCACATGGGAGCTCCACACCCAGGCAGGCTTATCATTCACCAGGAAAATATCTTGGGTGGGAAAAAGCCTGCAGGCCCTCTGAGGCTGGCTGCCTTTGCTTCTTCCTCCCTCCCAGGAACCTGCAGCTTCTGAGCTCCTCTGGAAGGATGAAAGAGGCTGATCCTGCGATCCTAGCGAGGATGGAAGGGGAAGATGGACAGTTGACCTGGTCCGGCTGCCTCCCACAACCTCTGACCGTTCCCCTCCAGGACCCTCAGAGAGATCTGGTGAGTGGCAGGGAATGGAGATGGGGGCATGGAGGTTTGGGGAGTGGAAACAAGGAAATTCTGTGGCAAGATAAATCCCTGCAGGCTCCCTTTGCTTCTGCCTGAGTTACAGGGGGTTGGGGGGAGGGAGGATGGATGGATGGGGGGGGAGGGAACCCCCCCCAAGTGAGCAGAAAAGACACAGGGGGGAGAAAAGGCAAGAAGGTCTTGACTGGAATAAGGGTGGGGAAGAGGACCAATGTGTTTCTGTGTGTCAGAAGAGGGAGAATATGCACAGCAGTCCATTGCAGATTTACTCTTATGTAAGCTCCACTGAGTTCAACGGGATATACTTTCAGGTCACTACTGAGTGTACCATGCCGGCCTTAAGAAAGATAGAGGAAGCAGACAGATTAATTTGGAATCACAAAAACATGTTTTAAAAACTGTTGGGGACTGTTGCAGAGGGGATGTCCAGCGGCAGGAGAAATATCTAGGGCAGGAGAATTCCCTGCAGGGCTGCTGAGACTTCCTATGCTTCTTTTTCCGTCTCAGGAAAATGCCGCTTGTTTTGTCTTCTGAGCTCCTCAATAAGGATGAAAGAGTCTGATTCTCCTGGTATGCCTCTCCTGGTATGCCCCGCAGAAGACCTTAAGGTCCATGAATAATCATAGTTTGGGCCCTAAGGAAGTCAGATTATCCTCCACCAGGGCCAGGGCCTTCTTAGTGATGGCTCCGACCTGGTTGAATGCTCTGTCCCTTGAGACCAGGGCCCTGCAGGATTTAACTTCCTTCCGCGGGGCCTGTAAGACAGAGCTATTCCGCCTGGCTTTCAATTTGAACTTAGCGTGATCTTTTATTCCCCTTCCTTCCCTCCCCCTCCCCTTTTTATGAAGATTACCCGCTCTAGGATCCCACAGCTAATTCTCCCCTGGTCTCCTCGCTGGCCCAAATAGGACTAATTTAGCCAGCTAGCCCTGGTGATCATCTAATGTTCAGGTGGATGGATTTCCACCTAAATTGATTTTTGAATTCTGAATTTATTGTTATTCACATTTTATACTGTATTTTATGCTGTTTTTTGTTGCATCAATTAAGTGTTTTAAATTTGTTGTTCGCTGCATTGAGCCCGGTTTCCTGAACCAGGAAGGGTGGAGTATAAATAAGAATTTATTTATTTATTATTATTATTATTATTATTATTATTATTATTATTATTCTGCAAACCTAGCGAGGATGGAAGGAGGAAGATGGACGGTTGACCTGGTCAGGCTGTCTCCCACCACCTTTGAATGTTCCCTCCCAGGACCTTTAGAGAGATCTGGTGAGTTCCAAGGAATGGAGATGGGGACCTGGGGAGATGTTGGGGGGTGAGGAAGCTCCCCTGGCAAGAAAACAAGGAGGGCTGCAGGGCCAGAGCTCTGGACTGGCAGAGATTAAAGATAGGCAGGAAATGAATGTTTTCTCATGGTGACTTGGGCATAGTCAGGATTGGGGGCTGCTGTCTACCAGCTCCATCTGGTACACAGGCTGAGACCCTACCTGCACACAGACTGTGGTACATGCTATGGTTATCTCCCGCTTGGATTGCTACAATGCACTGTAGGTGGGGCTGCCTTTGAAAGTGACTCGGAAACTACAATTAATCCAGAAAGCGGCAGCTCAACTGGTGACTGGGAGCAGTTGCCAGGAGCATATAACACTGGTCTTAAAGGATCTACATCGGCTCAGAGTTTGTTTCTGAGCATCATTCAAAGTGTTGGTGCTGACCTTTAAAGCTCTAAACACCCTGTAGACCTGAAGGAGCATCTCTAACCCCAGACACAGAGGTCCAGCTCTAGTTCCCTGATTGCCAGAAGTGAAGTTACAGGGAACTAGGCAGTGGGCCTGCTCAGTGGTGGCACCCTTCAGATGTCAAGCAGATAAAGAACTATGTAGCTTTTAGAAGACATCTGAAGGCAGCCCTGTATTGGGCAGTTTGATGTTTTATATATGCTGTGGCTGAGGAAACCCAGCCAGATGGGCAGGGTATAAATAATAAAATCACCACCACCATCATCAGATGTTACAGGAAGTCTCACTAGAATTGTGATTTGGATTACATTTTTAATTGTCATCCTCCCTTATCTTTAGCAGGTGATGAACACGACAGTCATTGTTCTCGGGTCTCATCAGAAAGAAATAAGCATGAAGTCAAAGGAAGGACCTTTCAAGATCAAGAGGAAACAAGACCACAAGAGAAAAACCAAGAAGAAAATAGGAGGTATGAAGGCCTTCTAATGCAGACTGATAACGGCCATCGAATCCCAGTCCAGAAAAAACATCAGAAGGGGAAGAGAACAAATGGGAGACCTTTATGTGGCAAAACATTCCAAAGTAAATCTAGGTTCAATTCACACTGCAGAATCCACACAGAGGAGAAACCGTGTGAATGCTTGGTGTGTGGAAAGAACTTCAGTGACAGCTCAGGCCTAAAATCACATGAAAAAATTCACGCAGGACAGGAATCATACAAATGCCTAGAATGTGGAAAGGGTTTCAATCGCCACTCAAACCTTAAAAGACATCAGAAAGTCCACAGTGAGGAGAAACCATATTCCTGTCTAGAGTGTGGAAAGGCCTTCATTTACAGCTCAGGCCTTGTAGATCATCAAAAAATTCACACAGGGGAGAAACCGTATACCTGTTTGGACTGTGGAAAGACCTTCTGTCAAAGCTCAAACCTTGCATCTCATCAAAAAACCCACACAGGGGAGAAGCCATATAAATGTTTGGAGTGCGGAATGAGCTTCGCTCATGGCTCAAGTCTTACATTGCATCAAAGAATTCACACTGGGGAGAAATCTTATAAATGTTTGGAGTGCGGAAGGAGCTTTGCTCACAGTGTTAGCCTTACTACACATAAGAGAACCCACACAGGGGAGAAACCATATAAATGCTTGGAATGTGGAAAGTGCTTCAGCCAGAGTTCACACCTTAGTTCACATAAGAGAACTCACACTGGTGAGAAGCCGTATAAATGCTTTGAGTGTGGGAAGAGCTTCAGTCATAGTTCACATCTTACTGTGCATGAGCGAATCCATACAGGGGAAAAACCATATAAATGTGTGACATGTGGAAAGAGCTTTAGTAACTCCACATCACTTGTTATCCACCGCAGCATCCATTCAGAAGAGAAGCCATATAAGTGCTTTGAGTGTGGAAAGAGCTTCCGGCATGGTACAGGCCTTCATAAACATCAAAAAATTCACAGAGGTGAAAAACCGTATGCATGTTTTGAGTGTGGAAAGAGCTTCACTCACAGATCACAGTTTAAATGTCATCAAAGAATTCACACAGGGGTGAAACCATATACCTGTTTTGAATGTGGAAAGAACTTCACTGAAAGCTCAAGCCTTAGATCTCATCACAAAGTTCACACAGGGGAGAAACCACATAAATGTTTGGAGTGTGGAAAGAGATTTGCACATGGATCTGGCCTTACTTCTCATAAAAGAATTCACACAGGGGAGAAACCATATATATGTTTGGAGTGTGGAAAGAGATTTGCACAGGGATCTGCCCTTACTTCTCATAAAAGAACTCACACAAGGGAGAAACCATATAAATGTTTGGAGTGTGGAAAGAGATTTGCACAGGGATCTACGCTTACTTCTCATAAAAGAACTCACACAGGGGAGAAACCATATAAATGTTTGGAGTGTGGAAAGAGATTTGCACATGGATCTACGCTTACTTCTCATAAAAGAACTCACATGGGATAAACCATATATATACTTGGAATGTGGGAAAAGATTTGGTCAGATTTCGCATCTCATTTTGCATAAGTGAATCAAGATGGGGAAAATATTTCGATTCTTGTAATGAGGAAAGCACTTTAAGTGGAGCACCGCTAATTTGCAAGATATAGGTTTGTTGGATTTGGAGGGACATAATAACCGTTGGGCTTGGCACCCTTATTGAATTTATGGAAAGGCAAAAATACACAGAGATTTCTCAAATCATATTATAAGGAGATCACTTCTTAAAGTTTGGGAGAAATACAAAGATCGGTTGGAGCCTAAAATCCCGTGGTGGGCCTCTCCAAGCAGAGGCTACAGTGGTGAAGGAAAAAAATATGTTGTGAAATTGGCCTACTTATAAAATAATTTTAAAAGAAGATAACCAACTGAAACTTAAAAGTTTTGAGGAATTAAGAGATATTATTACAGATTGGTTCCAATATTATCCAATATTCAAAAAAATTAATGTAGATAAAAAGGGTTTGCCAAGGAAACCTCGAGATTTGATTTACATCAGCCGTGATAAAGTGGTCTCAAGACTTTGGGTATGTTATAACATTGTCCCAATGGGAAAATCTGTGGAAGAATAGTTGGAGATTTACCACGTGCTATGCCATAAGGAAAACGTTTTAAAAATGCAGCACCAGTGGTATTTGACTCCATGGAAATTAGCCAAAATGTACAAAGGAGCCAAAAGTAACTGTTGGAGATGTGGAGATCAAACAGGCTCACTGTATCATATATGGTGGCAATGTAGCAAAATAAAGAAATTTTGGGAGGAAATCCATTCAGAATTAGAAAAAATGTTAAGACTTTCCTTTACAGTGGGACCTCGGGTTAAGAACTTAATTTGTTCTGGAGGTCCATTCTTAACCTGAAACTGTTCTTAACCTGAGGTACCACTTTAGCTAATGGGGCCTCCCGCTGCTACCGTGCGATTTCTGTTCTCATCCTGAAACAAAGTTCTTAACCGAGGTACTATTTCTGAGGTAGTGGAGTCTGTAACCTGAAGCATCTGTAACCTGAGGTGTCTGTAACACGAGGTACCACTGTAATAGAAAGCCAGAGGCACATCTGTTGGGGATCACTGACTCAGATATTCCAAAACAAATTAAAGGTATTTTTTTGTATGCAACAGTGGCAGCGAGAGTCCTTATAGCCATCAAGGTGGAAAAGCAACATAATTCCTTCCAGACAGGAGTGGATTCAAAAATTGACTGAATATGCTGAATTAGATAGCTTATCAGGAAAAAATAAACCGAGAGCTGAATTTTTATCAAAATGGGAGTGCCTGATCACCCCATCTGTCTCCTGAGAAATCTCTATGTGGGACAAGAAGCGACAGTTAGAACTGGATATGGAACAACTGATTGGTTCAAAATTGGGAAAGGAGTATGACAAGGCTGTATATTGTCTCCCTGCTTATTTAACTTATGTGCAGAATTCATCATGCGAAAGGCTGGGCTGGATGAATCCCAAGCCGGAATTAAGATTGCCGGAAGAAATATCAAGAACCTCAGATATGCAGATGACACAACCTTGATGGCAGAAAGTGAGGAGGAATTAAAGAACCTTTTATTGAGGGTGAAAGAGGGGAGCGCAAAATATGGTCTGAAGTTGAACATCAAAAAAACGAAGATCATGGCCACTGGTCCCATCACCTCCTGGCAAATAGAAGGGGAAGAAATGGAGGCAGTGAGAGATTTTACTTTCTTGGGGTCCATGATCACTGCAGATGGTGACAGCAGCCACGAAATTAAAAGACGCCTGCTTCTTGGGAGAAAAGCAATGGCAAACCTAGACAGCATCTTAAAAAGCAGAGAAATCACCTTGCCAATAAAGGTCCATATAGTTAAAGCTGTGGTTTTCCCAGTAGTGATGTATGAAAGTGAGAGCTGGACCATAAAAAAGGCTGATTGCTGAAGAATTGATGCTTTTGAATTATGGTGCTGGAGGAGACTCTTGAGAGTCCCATGGACTGCAAGAAGATCAAACCTATCCATTCTGAAGGAAATCAGCCCTGAGTGCTCACTGGAAGGACAGATTGTGAAGCTGAGGCTCCAATACTCTGGCCACCTCATGAGAAGAGAAGACTCCCTGGAAAAGACCCTGATGTTGGGAAAGATGGTGGGCACAAGGAGAAGGGGATGACAGAGGACGAGATGGCTGGACAGTGTTCTTTAAGCTACCAGCATGAGTTTGACCAAACTGCGGGAGGCAGTGGAAGACAGGAGTGCCCGGCGTGCTCTGTTCCATGGGGTCACAAAGAGTCGGACACAACTAAATGACTAAACAACAAAAAAACTCTGTAAAAATAATATAAAAAATAATATTTTGGTATGGCAGTAAAGTTATTTAGAAAGAACTAAGGAATAAATGGGAGGTTGGGTTTAATGATAATGAGATTTTTTTTTTACTGTAACATGAAATTGCAATCTCAAATTTATGTCATATTCTTTATCTTACTAATAACAATAGATAGTTTAAGTTTTCTTTTCCTTCCCCCCTTCTTAATTTGTACTCTTTATTGGTATTGTCTTTTTGTAATATTTTTTTCCCAGTTATGTAATTTTGTCCCAGTTATGTAAGAGAGCTTCTTTCACTTCTTTCATTTAAATCCACGTAAATACAGAGATTACAATTACTTCCTGGCTTTCCGACTCTTCCTGCATCTGTATTTTATGCAAGGAGTAAAAATACATCTAATCCTAAGCTTTAGGAAGAAATTTCTGACTGCAAGTGAGATGAGCTACCTTGGAAGGTGGTGAACTCTCCTTCATTTTTTAAGGTTTTTCAGCAGAGGTCGGGTTTTTCCTGCATTGCAGGGGGTTGGTCTAGATCAGGGATTGTCGATCTGGTTCCTACCACACACTAGTGGGCATTTCAGGATTCTAACTGGGCAGTAGGGGGTTCGGAATCCTCCTTCCATCAAGTCCTGGTGGGCGGTAAGGAAATTTTACCATTAAGAAAGATGCATTAGTGGGCGGTAAGTATAAAAAGGCTGACTACCCCTGGACTGGGACGCGGTTGGTGCTGTGGTCTAATCCACAGAACCTAGGGCTTTCCTATCAGAAGGTTGGCGGTTTGAATCCCGTGACGGGGTGAGCTGCCGTTGCTCGGTCCCTGCTCCTGCCAACCTAGTAGTTCGAAAGCACATCAAAGTGCAAGTAGATAAATAGGTCCTGCTCTGGCGGGAAGGTAAACGGCGTTTCCATGCACTGCTCTGGTTCGCCAGAAGCGGCTTAGTCACGCTGGCCACATGACCCGGAAGCTGTACGCTGGCTCCCTTGGCCAGTAAAGCGAGATGAGCGCCGCAGCCCCAGAGTCATCCGCAACTAGACTTAACGGCCAGGGGTCCCTTTACCTTTACCCCAGGACTAGATGTTTCTTATGGTCCCTTCCAACACTACATTTGTATTATTCTTTGACCTTGAGTTTCCGGTTCTGGTCTTGCACCATGGCGGCAGCTCCCTCGACATTGGAGGGAGGCACAAATGAAGGGGTAGGGAACGGAAGGGTTTAAGCATTCCTGGAAACCTCCTGGGTTACGAGGGAGCAGACTGACTCGCAGTCGCCTCAACGGCTCACTCACATGCAGATCAGCATGGGGGCAGATGGAGGAGTTGGGTCATCACCTTTGCCATGATGCAACCCCCTCGGACCGCCATCAAAAGCGGAGGTTCTCCTTATAACTGGATTTTATTGGCTGTGCACTGGAGGAGATGTGGACACTAGAAGCTATATGTGGTTTGAAAGGAGTGAAGGTGGGGAGAACCTTGTTTTGACCGATGTCGTTGGGAAACTAGAGCTTAACCCTACCACCACCCAAAAAAAGCGTGTGGATTTAAGGAGGTGTTGACATACAACCTGTTTTTAAGAGGAAGGACATGGGCTAAACAAAAAAACGCTACCATAGAGGTGAGAGGAATTTCACAAGGGCACATGAATAGCAGTGGTCCCCGAATGCTTGGAGAGAAAAACCCTTCCTGTCTAAGACAAGGAAGAAAATGGTGAATGTTTGAAGTTGATTCTTCCAACCAACGGAAAGGAAAGGCCTGTTGTTTATCTTGAAGTGGGATGGAGGGGGAGCTGAGTTGAGGAGGACGGGACTTCATCTTGTGACTTCAGGTCCGCCCTGAACCACACTGGAAGGACAACATTGGGACAACATTCCTACTGCCCAAGGTTGCGGTAGGAAAAACATCAGCGGCAGAGATATACTCATTTTGACTCTCCTGCACCCTATCTGCATAACTTAGCAATTATAAAATATAGACGTGCATTTACTCTCACAAGATTGAATATACTGCCTTCGGTTGTACTTGAGGGACGATTCCAACAAATTCCACACGAAAAACGGTTATGTCCCTGTAGAGATGGCAGTACCGAATCAGTGGCGCATGTCCTTCCTGTTTGAACTCTTTATAAAGATTTGGAGAGTGAGGTTATCACCCCTATTTTATTGTCCATTCCGGGTCACCCAGCCCCTGTCACAGTGTTTTTTCTCTCAGTAGACCAAGATGAGCAGGTGACATCAAAGGTTGCAAGGTTTTTAGCTCGGGCAATTAGAATAAGATCCACTATCTGACTATTGATTCAAAACCCCAAAATGTATTTTATATAATTGAGTTTTTATCTTTTCGCCGCTGCCGCGCATGCGTTTGACATCATTTTGAGCACCTGCGCATATGTGAGCGGCGAAACGTGGAAGTAACGCGCTCCGTTACTTCCAGGTCGCTGCGGAGCGCAACCTGAAAATATTTAAGCTGAAGCGTATTCATCCCGAGGTATGACTGTACTAGGATAGAGAGCTGACTGCACCTGTGATTTTACAGTGGTATACGCTTCAAGTTACATACGCTTCACGTTACATACGCTTCAGGTTACAGACTCCGCTAACCAAGAAATATTGCATCAGGTTAAGAACTTTGCTTCAGGATGAGAACAG